AATAAGTGGTTATTGGGAAAGAGGAAAGAAAGGGGGATTGGCTGTCAAAATCATGGGGGAACTGGGATGATGGATCCTTTTTATATCTTCAATTGAAGAAATAATTACATGATATTCATTTGTCAAAACTCATCTAATTGTGCACTTAATATTGGTGAATTTTATTAAATGTAAATAATATTTAAGTAAAACTGATTTTAAAGTATGCAAAACAGGTCTTTATAAACTGTATTTGAGGGTTTGGTGATCACCTTTGTGAGATTAAATAGTATGATGAATACCTCCAGAAGCTCACATAATCTTATGCCAAGGTAGTACAGCATTTAGTTGGCTGTGATGTTCAGTTATGGAGACTTCAAAATGAATGTGGACAGGCATATCTGTGTTTAGGAAAGGATAACCAGAAGAGTAAAGAAAATGGGAGAAGTATGTTTTGAAGAAAATTAGAAATGAGAGGTTTCACTAAGAAAAGGAGGCACTGCCCTAGCCAGTTTGGCTCAGTGGATAGAGTGCCAGCCTGTGAACTAAAGGGTCCCAGGTTCAATTCTGGACAAGGGCACATGCCTGGTTTGTGGGCTAGTTCCCCCTCCCCCAGTAGAGGGTGTGCAGGAGGCAGCCAATCAATGATTCTATCTCACCATTGATGTTTCTATCTCTCTCCCTTTCTCTCTGAAATCAATAAAAGTATTAAAAAAAAAAAAAAAGGTGGGGGGAGGGAAGGAGGCACTGTAGGTGATGTGCAAAGCAGCTGTCTCTAAACACTTGTATGGAGCTGGGAATTCCCTCTGCCCCTGAATGTTCTTGCTATAGAGAAAAAAAAGGTTTTTCAGTTGTTCACGTTGGGCAACTTTTTGGACTGGATGGTTTGGGCAAGGATAGTATGCTATCAAGGAAATTCTAGAAACTACTGAACACTAGTAATATGCCTCAATTTTAACTTGAGTTGATATTTTTAAACTATACACTATGGTTGCACAAATGACTTAAATTAATTGGCTTCCCTGATTTTTCCTGCTTAATCTCTGCCCCAGGTGACAGTTTTGATTACTGCTTGTTTTTGTAACTCATTCTCATAAATTTTACTTGCATACAATGCCATATTTTCCTGATTCTTTCTCACTTCTTCTTTTTCATTTTTGATGATGGAAAGAGGGTTTGATAGGTAACTGAACTACATTGCTTTCAAAGTGATTCCAAAAGCTGTGACCTCATAAATTAGATTATGAAAGTTTATATAAACCCTCTCCCCAAAACTTATCATTCTTCTCTTAAAAAACAAACAAACAATGAAGCATAATAGCAGAGTATGTACTGCAGTGTAGACTTGCCCCTTCACTTAGGAAATCACTTAGCCACACCAACTCAGTTTTCTTATTTTACAAAATTGGGATAATTATACCTATGTCATGGTTGCTGTGTGCACAAATTATTAAGTAAAATATACACAAAAATGCTCTACTTTGAAAAGGCACTATATATTAATATGCAGAAATTATTATTAATTTGGTAATGGGTACTGATATTTATTTTATAAATCTGTTTTTGGTTCCTTATTTCTAGAGTGTATGCAAGCAGATGATTTTTATACATGTAGATTGATAATCTAATTAAACTTAACACATAAACATATGGCTGAGTGTTGGCTTTTCAAGTACTATAAATGAGACTTGTGTACTCTGATTGTATAGTTTTATTCTTGAAAAGTTGCTTTTAGATGGCATCTTCAGCACAGGCTTTATCCACTAGGTAGCAATACATATTTTGGGTCAAATATATTCACATTGTCTCTTCCCAAAAATTAGAGGCAGGACTGTTTATTTTAAGCAGCAGTCTACAGGCAGAGTCCTAAAGCAAATCCATCCTTTCATTTGTCTTCCCTTAGGTAGCAATATTACAGCATTAGCCTTGGTCATTTTTAGCTGCAGTTCTAAGAGTTTTATCCACAGCATCACCCTCGAAGTAAACATTGTGCTTTTTACTGCCTGGATAGATGTTTTAATCAATGGTAATAATCTTATTACTTCATAACCAATTCAGATTTGAATCCCATTATTCTCAATATCAAGCCATTTTACTTTCCCAGTGATTTTTTATTATGTATAAACAAGAGGCCCGATTCATGAATCCGTGCACTTCTGAGGTCCCTTGTCTTGGCCTCTAGGATCGAGCTGAAACTGGCTCTCTGACATTCTCCAAGGGGTCCCAGATTGCGAGAGAGTGAAAGTCGGGCTGAGGGCCCCCACCAGTGCACCATCGGGGTCAGGGAGGAACCAGGGGAGGGCTCCAGGGCATGTCTGGCCCATCTCGTTCAGTCCCGATCCGCCAGACCCCAGCAGCAAACTAACCTACTGGTCAGAGTGTCTGCTCCCTGGTGGTCAGTGCATGTCATAGTGAGTGGTTGAGCAGCCTTAGCATATCATTAGCATATTGCACTTTGATTGGTTGAACGACGACCAGATGGCTGGACACTTAGTATATTAGGCTTATATAGGATGGATTGTCTACAGATTTTCCACATCAGACTGTTTTCTCTGAGATATTCCAGTGCTGTCCTGGTCACCATTGGATTTTTGTTTATATGATATCCCTATTCCTTTGAATACATTTGTCTTCTCATCAACAGTAGCTAGAATGTAAGTTTTAAGATAGAATATGCATAGGAGAAAGCATTTTTGTAAATAACACCTTCTATTCATTTTTGTTAGTGACTCTTCATCTGAGGATTGTTCAAAAGGTTATTGCTCAGTGCTAGATGCTCTGATTCTTTTGCTCAAGGATTTAATAATCTAGCGACCCAAGCTTTCTTTACATATCCCAAATTTCTTTTAAATATATAGACAACAGACAAATATTGGTGAACATGTAAGAACTCAGGACATATAATTTTTATAAGTTCTTACTGAAGAAATTACCAGAAGGCAAATTTCAGCCAAATAGGAGGTGTATGGAGACTCTCAAAGAGACTAGCATCTAATAATTAAATTCAGTGTGCTCTGAAGAACTAAAACAATAAAGAGTGATTGCTACAGAATAGGATATAAAGGTTATAAAGTCTGACAATGTAGAAATAATAAATAATAAAATTAAAGGTGAGAGAGGAAAAGGTGAGAGGTTAGTATATGCATGTTAATATCCTTATATAATATTTTATATCTGGGAGACAATACCTATAATTTAAAATAGAAAGATATAGTCAATGGTTTAAAAAAGCAAACTACAAGGAACATTATAAAATCAATAAAAAGTGTATGGAGGAGGATGGTAGAGAGGAAATGAAAAAAATCTAATTTATCATTGCTCTTATGAGAGTAAATGAGTGCAACCATGTTTATGTAGTTGTATATATAAAAGTAACGACAAAAATAGAAATGTAGTTCTGAGTAAACATGTAAAATATAGAATATAAAGCAAAGATAGCATGGACCATAATGTGAGGGTTTTGTTTTTTTTTAAGGCACTGCAGAAGTGCTTTTTTAAAGCACTCAAACATGTAATGAGCCTCATTATTTGCAGAGTCCATATTTGCAAATTCACCTGCTCACTAAAATTTATTTGTAACCCTCAAATCAATACTTGTGACACTTTCCCAACCAATTTTGGACATGAACAGCTTAGTAAAAATTTGGAGTTGCTAGCTGAGATTGAACAAGGCAACACTCTGCCTTTTTGTTTCAAATTTCACACTGGAAAAAGTTTAGCTGCATCAGAAAGCAGGTATAATTAAGCAAATTTAATATATATATGGCTAAATTGACTCGATCCCGAGCATGTTACAATATAAAGCTCTCACTGGCGCCAATCGCGTGTGTGTGTGTTGATTTTTCATTGTCGGTTGTGAATTTGGTTGACACTTCTGTTATAGAGGAAGGGTGACTAGCAATATTAAAACATTTCTTCTAATTAATTTCCTTTCAGTGTGCACGAATCTATGCACCAGGACACTAGTGTATTCATAAAAAATACTTGTACCTAAATATTTATAACAGCCTTATTTGCAATAGTCAAGAATAAGAACTAACCTGATGTCCATCAGCAAGTGAATGCATGAACAATTGTGGTTTACCCTTACCAAGGGAATATTACTTAACACTAAAAGAAATGGTCTATTGATACATGCAACAATATGGATAAATCTCAGAGTAATGATAAGCAAAAGAAGCCAAACCAAAAATAAAAAAATACATAGTGTAATATTTCATTTCTATGAAACATTAGGAAATGCAATCTAGTCTATGGTGACAGATCAGAAATCATTGGCTGCCTAGGCATGAGGAAGTGATTGGAAGCGTTTATGGGTTTATCTCTAATAGAAAAATATATCCTCAGATGAGGATAAAAGAAAATAATAATTAAAAAGAACACACATGTTAAGCTTCAGTCACAATAAAAACACAGTGATGTGATTTTTCACATACCAGGCAGTACGGACCATAACACTTAATAATTCACTTGAGTGTGGGGGAAACCCACTTTTGTGCACATCTGGTGGGAACTTAATTTGGTGTAACTTCTGTGAAAAGTAGTTTGATAGTAGCTTTTAATATTGAAAGTTCACATACCATGTGATGTAGCAATTTTATTTGTAAGAATTTACCCTATAGATATAACCTCCCATATGCAAAATGAATACATGGATGTTCATTGCAGCATTGTTTGTAAAATAGAAAAAATAATCTTTTATTGCGTAAATTAAAAATGAGATTTATTGGATAAATAAGGCTATGTCTATGCGCCAAAAAGAATGAGACAGCACTAATAGCTAAGGATATTGACCACTCTACAAGCTGTTCTGTTAAGTGAAAGAAGCAGGGAACAGAATGCCCTGTACAGTATGTTATCATTTCTTATGCATATTCGGTGCTAGTATAGACATAGATTTTCCCTGAAACAATCCACATGAATCTAGTAATAGTAGTGCTGTCTGATTCAGGTCTAGAATTGGAAGGAGCTTTTGATACTTTGTGTACATATTAACTAATTAAAAATATTCTTTGCCTTAGAAATCAGTCCAGAACCTGGAGGACCTTACAAAAGTAAGTATTAACTTATCTGATAAAGATTATTAATGTTTAGTAATAAAAAATAGCTAAATATAACAGTAATTATTGTATGTTAGGCACTGCACTCTGGGTCCTTTACAAATCAGTTTTCCAATAAACCTTCAAAATAGTTGGGGTGCTTTACAGGTTAAGAAATAGATTCACAGTATCACCCAAGGACACACAGATAATAAGGCTCTTTTAAAGTCAGTTGATTAAGACTTGAGGAGTAACATCCAAAGATATATCCAAGCTTCTATCCATAACATTTGTGAATGGCATGTGCAGTGGCAGACCACACAAGTCAGTTACATGTAAGTTTCCTGTACTTCCAAAGAAAGACAGTTATTGTCTTACTTAAAATCTTTTATATTAGGATTGGAACTTGTATGATTCCAGCAGGCTCAACATCTTGAAAATACCAACTGCCAAATAAATGTTTTCTTTAGAGAGTAATTATTTTCATGTTTCTATATAACTGTGATGTGGCCTTCTTGAACTGGTTTTATTCCATAAAGAAAATGAGATTCTTTAGCAGATGGACAAATTTTAAATGTAGGCCAAGCCGTAAAAATAAAAATCCAAGTAAAATGAGGGGGAAGAATTGAAAACATCCCCTCTTTTAAATGAAGGCTTTTGCTTCTGGCACTATAAATAATCAATAGGGTTTTATATTTTGTTTTATTTTAGCAAGGCTAAATTTCAGTCTTTTTATTCTTCAGTACTCAAGGGATCACTTTGACAGCTGATAAATCAGCCTATATTAAAATAATTATATGGCAGGTCTTTGGGTATCTCAGTATGAAATCGATTTATGTCAGATTCAGTTTATAGTATCTGGAAATTTGCCTGCTCATGACAACAAATTAGGACTTGCATTTACTATTGACTCACTGTGACACAAAGTTGAAGAAGGTTGTTACCTATTTATTTTTTACCTAGTACTCTTTAGAAACTGTTATATCTTGTTTATCCAGTAAATGCATTAGTAAAAAGAAATATGTAAATTAATAACTAAACAATTTTACTTTTTCAACTTCATTATCTTGCAAAATGTTATATTTTTTATTTATGTCTTATTTATTAGGGTTCATAGTTTCAATTAGCTTTGTTTCCTGTGGAAAGTAACTCATATGTATGCAGATACTCAGATTACAAGATGTTAGATGTTGTACCAGGTAGATTCACATGCATCCTTTAAAGCATTGTCCATTACTAATTAATTATCTATCCATAAAGTTTACCAACTCCTGTTCTTATGTGTAACCAGTTAGATTTCTCACCCTCTCTTTCTTTAAAGAAAAAAAAAAATTATTGATTTTTTTTACAGAGAGGAAGGGAGAAGGATAGAGAGTTAGAAACATCGATGAGAGAGGAACATCGATCAGCTGCCTCCTGCACACCCCACAGTGGGGATGTGCTTACAACCAAGGTACATGCCCTTGACCAGAATTGAACCTGGAACCCTTCATTCTACAGGCTAGTGCTCTATCCACTGAGCCAAACCATCTAGGGCTCTCCCTCTCTTTCTGAGTCTTAAGTTATACAACAAAGAAACCTCACCATTGTTTTAATGTTCACTGGAATAATTGTCATTTTGCAAATATATTGCATCTTCTCTTCCCATGCCCCTTCTTGTTCATATCTAGAACCATAAAATATTTAAAACCAAATGAACAGCTGTTTTGAAGAATGGATGTGTGGTCCTCCACCCTTTTCCAGGTGACCAAAGGGTGGTCCTCCTTGCAAGGTTAGATAAGACCCTGGGATAGCCAGTGGTTCTGATGCCTACTGTATGCATTGAGATGGGTGAAGTCCAGAGCACTGCCTTGAATTTATAGGATGGTGCCCCTTCCTTGTCCTTTCCTGCGTTGTGGGAGCTGCCACTTAGAGTCAGTGTGGGAAGATGTATCCAGGGCCTGGTCTGTCAATTTTGCTATACTTAAAGTTGTCCCAGAGGCTCCTTACACTGTCTTCACTTTTTGGATTCTTTTTGCTGTTCTGAGTGGATGTTTTTTGCTTTCTCATATTCTGAATCACTGATTTGATTCTAAGTGTCCTCTACTGTTAATTCTTTGTAAATTATTTTTCATTTCAGTTAGTGCATCCTCCACTTTTCACTGATCCTTTTCTATGTCGTTCATATTCTCACTAAGTTCCTTGAAGTTCTCAATAAGTTCCATGAAGTTCTCATTAAGTTCCTTGAGCATCCTTAACACCATTGTTTTGAACTTTATATTTGGTAGCTTTTTTCTTTTCTCTTTTCTGCTTTTATTTATTAATTTTTTTATTAAATTATTATCTGTGTACATATTTTAACATTGCCCCTCCCCCCATACATACTCTCCCTCTCCAGAGTTTTGAGTCCATTCTGGCAGTATGCATGGTAGCTTGCTTATTTCCATTTATTTAGTTGTTTTTCTGGAGATTTCTTCAATTTTTTCATTTGTCACATGTTTCTTTGACTTCTTTTCATCTGCTTCTCTGTATTTGGTTCTATGTATTAGGTAGAGCTGTTATGTCTTCTGGAATTGGTAGGGTGGCCTTGAGTAGGAGGAATCCTAAAGGAGCCCAGTGGCTCAGCCTCTCCAATCACTTGAGCTGGGCACTTTCGGTGTGTCCTGTGTGGCTGTGTGCACTATCCTGTTGTTGTTGGACATTGATTGCTATTGGCATCATGGGGAGGGATTGATGGCCCCACACCAATTGGCTCTACAGACCAGCTGCGACTACAGTAAAAGGGCTGCTGTGTAGAAGATTCCCCTTTGGAGTAGGATTTGCTTCAGTGGGGCTTTGGTGCTCTCCAAGTCTGCCCTTTGAGTGTGTTGCTTGTGGATGTGGTAGTGTGGTCTGAAGCTGACCACTGGGTGCACTAGCTCTGGGGTCTCCAGGGAGATACAAAGTCAGCTAACTGCCTGTGCCCTGCCTGGGGTGACCCAACACAAGGTACAGAGTGATCCGCAGATGGCAGCTACTTGTGTTGGGCTTCAAGGTGCTCAGGAGAGGCCAATCTGTGAACTAATGCAGAATGTGCTAGTTCCGGCCCTAGAGCCACTTACCAAGAGGTATGGGGCACACTGAAGCCAGCTGCTACTTGTTTGAGAGATTTGGGGAAAATCTGAAGTCTGAGTTAGGACAGGCCATTCATATGGAAAAGCTACTGCAAACAGCTTGGGTGGGGCTGCAAATTGGGTGGGGCAGGGTCTCAGGTAATCACTAGGGTGGGGCAAACAGTATGGGCCAGATAGATGGAGATTCAGATTTAGTGACTGCCTGTTGGCACTATGGCAGGGGGATGTCATCAAAGGAACAATGACCTCTACTGTCATTTTTGTAGTAAGAATGCTGCCCCCTACTTCTTGCTCTGTTGCCAGACAATTTAGTTCCTCCCATTTAAGCTGCTGCCCCAGCACTGAAGCTCAGAGAGAGTGAGTCCAAATTCATCACTGGTCCTTTAAGAGGAACTGCCTGGGACTGCAGCAACTCTCCCTATCACTTAGCCACAATTCCTGCTGGTTTTTACAGCCCAAAGTTACAGGAACTTCTCTTCCCATTATTGCAACCCTGGGCTGAGGGGTCTGGAGTGGGGCTAGGACCCCACGTTCATCACAAGAGGCATCCACAGCCAAGATAGCCTTCCCACATAAAATGCCACATGTGGGTGTCAGAATAGCCTGTTTTGTGCCTCTGCTCCTCATACCAATCTCAATGTGGCTTCTTTAATTTTGTAATTGAAGGAGTTCTGTTCAGCCAGATTTTAGGTGGTTCTGAATGATGGTGGTTCTGATTTAGCTGTAATTTTGATGTGGTTGTGGCAGTATGCAAGTACTGCATTTATCTACACTCCTAGCTTGACCAGAAGCCAACTTCAAGCATACCAACATTTGCATTATGGGATTAGCAGAAGGGGAAGAGAGGGAGCCAGAAATTGAAAAGCTATTTGAAAAAATGACAGGAAACTTCTCTTACCTGGTGAAAGAAATACATATACAAGTCCAGGAAGTGCAGAGAGTCCCAACCAAGATGAACCAAGATAAATCATAATTAAAATGCCAAAGTTTAAAGACAGAGAATCTTAAAAGCAGCAAGAGAAAAGCAGTTATCTTTAAGGGAGCACCCATACAACTGTCAGCTGATTTCTCAACAGAAACTTTGCAGGTCAAGAAGGGAGTGACAAGAAATATTCAAAGTAATAAAAAGCAAAGACCTACAACTAAGATTATTCTTCCCAGCAAAGCTATTATTTTTAATTGAAAGCCAGATAAAGAGCTTCACAGGTAAGAAAAAGCTAAAGGAGTTCATCACCACCAAACCAATATTATTAATACATGAAATGTTGAGGGGTCTTCTTGAAGAAGAAAAAAAAAAGATAAAAAATATGAACATTAAAATAGCAATAAATGCATATCTATCAATAATTAAATCTAAAAATCAAAATAAGTGAACAAGGAATCTAATGAACAAAATAAACTGATGAATAAAGTAGAACCAGAGGCTTAGAAACATGGAACAGAGTGACAAATCTCAGAGGAAGGAGATGGGGTCGGAAGAGATTAAAGAACTTATATGTATACATACATTACCCATACATAAAGAACTTATATGTATATATAATGTATGTATGTATACATATATACTTATATGTATACATACATACATACATTACCAAGGGTGTTGAAGTGCTGGGGTGGGGTGGGATCTGGGTAGAAGAGGGACAGTGGGGGGACATCTGGAATATTCTCAGCAATAAAGGTGTGGGGTTTTTTTTGTTTTTAAGTAATAGGTGTCATTTCGGTAACTAGTGCAGACAATGTGGTTGGTAATGTAATATGTTTATGTATATAAACGTGTGTCCCTGTGTGGGAAAACTGCACTTCACCCCTACTTCCAAAGGAGATGAGATGAAGTAACTGAAAGAGGAGATTGTACATTAGGTTAGCTTAATATGTTTTAAAAGTACAAAGACATGATCTATAAAAACTTGAATGTGAGCC